TGGATGTCCCCTGCCAGGACCCAGAGTGGGTGCTGACCCCATGATGGGGGCTGGATGTCCCCTGCCAGGACCCAAAGTGGGATCTGACCCCATCATGTGGGGTGACAGGGGCTGGATGTCCCCTGCCAGGACCCAAAGTGGGATCTGACCCCATCATGTGGGGTGACGGGGGCTGGATGTCCCCTGCCAGGACCCAAAGTGGGATCTGACCCCATCATGTGGGGTGACAGGGGCTGGATGTCCCCTGCCAGGACCCAAAGTGGGATCTGACCCCATCATGTGGGGTGATGGGGGCTGGATGTCCCCTGCCAGGACCCAGAGTGGTTGAACCCCACAGCGAGGATGACCGGGACTGCTGTGTCCCTGCCAGGACCCAAAGTGAGTGCTGACCCCATCATGTCGGGTGACGGCTGTTGCTGTGCATCTGCCAGGACCCAGAGTGGCTGTTTTGGGGGGTGTTAGGGGCTGTAGGTACCTGACAGGACCCAAGGTGGCTGTAGCACCCCACGTTTTAGGATCATGGCTGCTGTAGGTACCTGACAGGACCTCAATCAGTTGTTTTACCCCATTTTGATGTGTTTGGGGGCTGTTTCTCCCCTTCCAGGACCCTGAACCGTTTGTTTTACCCCATTTTGAGGTGTCTGGGGGTCGTTTCTCCCCTTCCAGGACCCTGAACCGTTTGTTTTACCCCATTTTGAGGTGTCTGGGGGTCGTTTCTCCCCTTCCAGGACCCTGAACCGTTTGTTTTACCCCATTTTGAGGTGTCTGGGGCCTGTTTCTCCCCTTCCAGAACCCTGAACCGTTTGTTTTACCCCATTTTGAGGTGTCTGGGGGCCGTTTCTCCCCTTCCAGGACCCTGAACCGTTTGTTTTGCCCCGTTTTGAGCTGTTTGGGTGCCCATGGCCTCAGATGGCCTCAGGTGTCACCGTTGTCCCCAGGACCCGCGCTGGGAGCCGCTTCCACGGGATTTTATTGTTTTATTGCGTTTTATCACCTTTTATCAGGATTTATTTTATTTACCAGCCACCACCTCTGGATGCCAGCGACTCAGCTGAGCCTTCACCCCAAATTCCAGCCCCGTGGGGGGGTTTGGTGCCTCCATCCCTCCGCCTGAGAACTCCTCCTGCGGGTGGTAAATGGGGAAAAAACGAGCATTTCACACCAAAATTCCCATTTTTCACACCCTCATTCCCAGTGTGGGGGTTCAAACGCCTTCACTGGTGGTTTTCCATCAAGTGGGGCACTAAAATTGACCATTTTTGTCCAAAATTAAGAGGGTTTTTTTCCCCTTCTGAATTAAATTTCTTGGGTTTTTTTCAAAAAAAAAGGCATCTCAAAGCCCAGAGGGGTCTGGTTTAAAAATCAGCTTTAAAGTGAAGCCACTTGCTTTGAGAAGGCTCAGAAGTGGATAAATTCAGATTTTAGAAGCTTTCTTTTTCCCAAAAAGGTTAGAAAGGAGTAAATTTGGGGGTTACTTCCCCCTTTTCCTCCACAAATGCTTAGAAATGGCTTAAATCTGGGTTTGGAACCTTTTCCTTGGCCCTGAAATGCCCAGAATTTGATAAATTTGTATTTTAGCCTCTTTTTTTTTGCCCCCAAATGCTCAGAAATGGGTAAATGTGAATTTTGGAGCTCCCAAGAATGAGTCAATTCAGCTTTCAGAACAATTTGTGTTTCTGGAAAAGCTTAGAAATGGATCATTTTGGGATTCACACTCCTGCTTTTCCCCAGAATTGTTCAAAAATGAGTAAATTTGGGAATTTCCCCCCTACAGTGCTCAAGAATTGGTACATCTGGATGACAGAGCTCACAAAAATGCTCAAAATGGGGCAAAATTAGATTTTAACCCCCTCCAAAACACTCAGAAATGAGCACACGCTGATCCTAGAGCTCCCTCTTTTCCAGAAAAGCTCAGACATAAATAAATTTAGATTTTAACCTCAATTATTTTTTTTCCCCCAAACCCCTCAGAAATGGGCAAACCTCACCTTCTGCTCCTTCCCTGACCTTTTCCTTTGGCTTTTTCTGCACTTTTGGACCAATCCTGAATTCTTTTTCCTCAGACCCCCCTGTGGGACACGCAGCCACCCCCAAACCAGCCCTAAATCCACTTTTTAAAACTTTCCCCCCCACCACCCCAAATCCCCATTTTTACCCTTTTTCCTCCCCCAAGCACCCCCAATCTCCATTTTTTATCCTTTTCCCTCTGAGAACATCCCCGATCCTCATTTTTTTCACTTTTTTCCTCCCCCAAATCCCCATTTTTATGAACCTTTCTCCCCCTGGAGCAGAAGTTTTGCCCATTTTTAACCTTTTCCCCCCCGGATCAGCAGCAGCCTGGCCTCTCTCCCCGGATTTGAGGTGAAATAACACTTTTTCCCCATTTTCCCAGCGGGAAGCCAACTCCTCCCCCTCCTCCACAGCTGAAACTTGTTGGTTTGGGGGTTTTTTTTATCCTTTTTTCCCGATTTTTGCCGTTTTCAGCCCATCCCAGCAGAGAACAATGGCGAGGCCGCCGCAGCTCCGCAGCCGGGCTGGGGGGGGGGAGCGCCCAAAACAACAGAATTTTCACTTCAAAAAAAAACCAAAAACCCCAAAAATCAAACCTAAACTCGAGCTTTTCCACACTTGGCACCAAGTTCCTGAGCAAAGGCCTGCTCCAGCGTCGGGAAGAGCAGAAAAGCGGGGGGAAACACCCCAAAAAACCCCAAATCGGGGATTCCTCAGTGGGGGGGAAGCGGCGCCTCACTCCCCGCCGTGCCTCTTCCCCCAGTTTTTCCCTTTTCCCCCCATTTTGGAGCTCCCCTCCCTCTTTCTTTGTTCCAACTCCTTCCTCCCCTTTGCCGGAATCACTCCCCCTTTTTTTTTTTTTTTTTCTTTTTTTTTTTTTATTGTGGTTTTTGCTACATTTTTTCCATTTTTCCACCTATCCCCCCCCTCCTTTCACCGTTTCATTTGCGATTTCCACCATTTTCCCCTCATTTCTCTCTCCTCTCATCCACTCGGGGGGGGGGTTTACTTTAGGATCGCGGCCCTCCCTTCTCCGGGCGGGGGTTTTTTGGTGTTTTTTTCGGTTTTTTTCCCCTTTTTCTCGAGGTGCGGGGAGTGGGAGCGTCACGTGTGTGGAAAATTCTGGTTGATGCTTTGCCAACGCGCCCCGGCTCCCCGCGCATGTCCGATGGGGCCGGGGGGGGGTTGGATTTGGGGGGTGAAAAGGGGGGAAAACACCCCAAAAATGGCAGGATCGGGCCCGCAGGGGCTCGGCCCCATCCCCGCCAGCGGCCGCGTGTCCCCGGCAACACCCCCAGGTGATGGTTTGGGTTGAAAAAGCGGCGAAAAGGGGAATTTGGAAAGCGAGGAGCCGGTGAGGAGGGGGGGGGAACAGGGCGGGCTGGGCCTCGGCGCTGCCGCCATGGTAAAAAACGGGCGGAAAAAAGCAGATTTTGGGGTGTTCGCCCCCGCGGGGGCGGCGCTGCCGGTGGTCCCGGCGCCCGGCCCGGCCGCCCGGGGCTGGCAGGCGGCGGTGCCAAGGGATTAGGCTGGAATGTGACCCCGGCGGCGCCGGGTGTTGCTTCCTGTCCCCACGCCAAGCTTGGCACCCGCTGTCACCCCCCCGTGTGTGTGTGTGTGTGTGTGTGTGTCCCTGGGGACACCCTCGGGGTGATTTACGGGTGACAGCGCGGGGGGACCCGCGGGGGACGGGCACGCGTCGGGCGGGGGCCGTGCCAGCGGCTGGCAGATGTGACACCTCTCTGTCGCCGGCGTCACCCCGGGCGGCTGCCAGAGCGGCGGGGACAGCCGGGGCCGTGACACGGATGCGGTGTCACCGCCCCGGGGACAACGGGCCGCGGGAATGCGCGGTGGCCCCTGTCACACGGGGATGCCGGTGGCCCTCGGCCAAGGGCTTGGGAAATCCTCTGCTGGCGGTTGGTCACCGTCACCGTGACACCAGTGTCCCCGTGTGAGGGGTTGGGGAATCCTCTGCTGGCGGCTGGTGACACCGCTGTCCCCAGAGTGGGAGCTGGGGAATGCTCTGCTGGTGTTTGGTCACTGTCACCGTGACACTGCTGTCCCCATGTGAGGGTCAGGGAATCCTCTGCCATCTCCTGGTCACTGTCACAGTGGCACTGCTGTCCCCTGGGCCCAATGGCTGGGAAATCCTCTGCTGTCACGGTGTCACTGCTGTCCCCACGTGAGGGTCAGGGAATCCTCTGCCATCTCCTGGTCACTGTCACAGTGGCACTGCTGTCCCCTGGGCCCAATGGCTGGGAAATCCTCTGCTGCCACGGTGACACTGCTGTCCCCACGTGAGGGTCGGGGAATCCTCTGCCATCTCTTGGTCACTGTCACAGTGTCACCAGTGCTTGGTCAGTGTCACAGTGTCACTGCTGTCCCCATGTGAGGGTTGGGGAATCCTCTGCCATCTCTCGGTCACTGTCACAGTGTCACCAGTGCTTGGTCAGTGTCACGGTGACACCGCTGTCCCCAGAGTGAGAGCTGGGCAGTCCTCTGCCATCTCTCAGTCCCTGTCACAGTGTCACCAGTGCTTGGTCAGTGTCACGGTGACACCGCTGTCCCCAGAGTGAGAGCTGGGCAGTCCTCTGCCATCTCTCAGTCCCTGTCACAGTGTCACCAGTGCTTGGTCAGTGTCACGGTGACACCGCTGTCCCCAGAGTGAGAGCTGGGCAGTCCTCTGCCATCTCTCAGTCCCTGTCACAGTGTCACCAGTGCTTGGTCAGTGTCACGGTGACACTGCTGTCCCCAGAGTGAGAGCTGGGCAGTCCTCTGCCATCTCTCAGTCACTGTCACAGTGTCACCAGTGCTTGGTCAGTGTCACAGTGTCACTGCTGTCCCCACATGAGGGTCAGGGAATCCTCTGCCATCTCCTGGTCATTGTCACAGTGTCACCAGTGCTTGGTCAGTGTCACAGTGTCACTGCTGTCCCCACATGAGGGTCAGGGAATCCTCTGCCATCTCTCGGTCACTGTCACAGTGTCACCAGTGCTTGGTCAGTGTCACGGTGACACTGCTGTCCCCATGTGAGGGTCAGGGAATCCTCTGCCATCTCCTGGTCACTGTCACAGTGTCACCAGTGCTTGGTCAGTGTCACAGTGTCACCAGTGCTTGGTCACTGTCACAGTGGCACTGCTGTCCCCTGGGCTGAGCCGTTTGGGAATCCTCTGCCATCCATCAGTCACTGTCACGGTGACACCGGTGTTTGGTCAGTGTCACAGTGACGCTGCTGTCCCCACGTGAGGGTTGGGGAATGCTCTGCAATCAGTCAGTCATTGTCATGGTGACAGCAGTGTTTGGTCACTGTGACAGTGACACTGCTGTCCCCTGTCCCTGTCCCCATTCTATCCCCATCCTGCCCTTGTCCCTGTCCCCATCCTCCCCCTGCCCCTGTCCCCATCTCTGTCCCATCCTCTACCTGCCGCTGTCCCCGTCCTGTCCCCGTCCCCATGGCTGATGCCACCCTGTCCCCACAGATGGTGACGAGGATCTGCTGCGGGGCCTCGAGGGGGCCCTGGGGGTGAAGAAGAAGAAAAGGGGCCCCCGGAAACAGAAGGAAAACAAACCCGGAAAACCCCGGAAACGGAAAAAACTGGTGGGTGCTGCTGGGCTCAGGGACAGGTGACACGTCTGGGGACAGTGGGTGGGGACAGGGGACAGGGACTGGGGACAGTGGGTGGGGACAGGGACAGGTGACACGTCTGGGGACAGTGGGTGGGGACAGGGGACAGGGTCTGGGGACAGTGGGTGGGGACAGGGACAGGTGACACGTCTGGGGACAGTGGGTGGGGACAGGGGACAGGGTCTGGGGACAGTGGGTGGGGACAGGGACAGGTGACACGTCTGGGGACAGTGGGTGGGGACAGGGGACAGGGTCTGGGGACAGTGGGTGGGGACAGGGGACAGGGTCTGGGGACAGTGGATGGGGACAGGGGACAGGTCTGGGGACAGTGGGTGGGGACAGGGGACAGGGGACAGGGACAGGGGACAATGGATGGGGTCAGGGACAGGGGACAGGGTCTGGGGGCAGTGGGTGGGGACAGGGGACAGGGGACAGGGACTGGGGACAGGTGACAGAGCCTTAGGGACGGCTGGCAGGGTCTGGGGACAGGTGATGGGTTGGGGGTGGCTGATGGGGGTCTCTGTGATGACTGATGGGGCTCTGAGGGTGGCCAGCAGGGTCCTGGTGTGACTGAGGGAGGGTCTCAGGGTTAGTGATGGTTTTTGGGGTGTTTTTGAGGTATTTTGGGGTGTTCTTGGGGTGCCCAGGTGAGCGAGGATGAGCTGGAGTCGGAGAGGGACGAGTACCCTCGTGAGGAGTACCAGGAGTGGTTCAGGGGGTCCTGTCTCAGGGTGACCAAAGGGAGGGTTCTCAGGGTGACTGAGGGGGGCTGTCAGGGTCAGTGACAGTTTTGGGGTGTTTTTGGGGTGCCCAGGTGAGTGAGGTTGAGCTGGAGTCGGAGAGGGACGAGTACCCCCGGGAGGAGTACCGGGAGTGGTTCAGGGCGTCCTGGTGTGGTTCAGGGCTCTCAGGGTGACCAGAAGGGGCTGTCAGGGTCACTGACAGGTTTTTTTGGGGTGTTTTTGGGGTGCCCAGGTGAGTGAGGTTGAGCTGGAGTCGGAGAGGGACGAGTACCCCGGGAGGAGTACCGGGAGTGGTTCAGGGCTCTCAGGGTGACCAAAGGGAGGGTTCTCAGGGTGACCAAAGGGGGGGTCTCAGGGTCAGTGACAGTTTTGGGGTGTTTTTGGGGTGCCCAGGTGAGTGAGGTTGAGCTGGAGTCAGAGAGGGACGAGTACCCTCGTGAGGAGTACCAGGAGTGGTTCAGGGCTCTCAGGGTGACTGAGGGGGCTCTCAGGGTGACCAGAGGGGGATCTCAGGGTCACTGACAGGTTGTTTTGAGGTATTTTTGGGGTGTTTTTGGGGTGCCCAGGTGAGTGAGGTTGAGCTGGAGTCGGAGAGGGACGAGTACCCCCGGGAGGAGTACCGGGAGTGGTTCAGGGCGTCCTGGTGTGGTTCAGGGCTCTCAGGGTGACCAGAAGGGGCTGTCAGGGTCACTGACAGGTTGTTTTGGGGTGTTTTTGGGGTGCCCAGGTGAGTGAGGTTGAGCTGGAGTCGGAGAGGGACGAGTACCCCCGGGAGGAGTACCAGGAGTGGTTCAGGGCTCTCAGGGTGACTGAAAGGGTTCTCAGGGTGACCAAAGGGGGGGTCTCAGGGTCAGTGACAGTTTTGGGGTGTTTTTGGGGTGCCCAGGTGAGCGAGGATGAGCTGGAGTTGGAGAGGGACGAGTACCCCCGGGAGGAGTACCGGGAGTGGTTCAGGGGGTCCTGGTGTGGTTCAGGGCTCTCAGGGTGACCAAAGGGAGGGTTCTCAGGGTGACTGAAGGGGGCTGTCAGGGTCACTGACAGGTTGTTTTGGGGTGTTTTTGGGGTGTTCTTGAGGTATGTTGGCGTGGTTTTGGGGTATTTTGGGTTGTTTTTGGGGTGCCCAGGTGAGTGAGGTTGAGCTGGAGTCGGAGAGGGACGAGTACCCCCGGGAGGAGTACCAGGAGTGGTTCAGGGGTCTCAGGGTGACTGAGGGGGCTCTCAGGGTAACCAAAGGGGGGGTCTCAGGGTGACTGAGGGGGGCTGTCAGGGTCACTGACAGGTTGTTTTGGGGTGTTTTTGGGGTGCCCAGGTGAGTGAGGTTGAGCTGGAGTCGGAGAGGGACGAGTACCCCCGGGAGGAGTACCGGGAGAAGTCGGAGAGCGGCGGCAGCGACTCGGGCGGCGCGGCGCGGAAGCGGCGGCGGAAGCACCGCGAGAAGAAGGAGAAGAAAACCAAGAGGCGGAAAAAGGCCGATGATGAGGGGGGGCAGAAGGTCAAGGTACGGCCTGGGGGGCACCCCGGCCTGGGGGGCACCCCCTGTCCTGCCCTGTGCGGGGAAATGGGGGTTCTGGGGGGGGCCCCAGCACCTGGGGGGGTTCTCATGGGGGTCCTGATACCTGTGGGGTTCTGCCACTGTGGGGTGTCCTCATGGGGGTCTCTGTGTCCTGTTTGTGGGGTTTGTGTGCCTGTGCGGGGAAATGGGGGTTCTGGGGGGGGCCCCAGCACCTGGGGGGGTTCTCATGGGGGTCCTGATACCTGTGGGGTTCTGCCACTGTGGGGTGTCCTCATGGGGGTCTCAACACTTGTTTGGGGTATTCATGGGGGTCCCAACACCTGTGTGGGGTCCTCATGGAGGTCCCAACATCTGTGGGGTCCAACACCTGTGTGGGGTTCTGTGGGGGTCCCAACACTTGTTTGGGGATTCTGTCACTGTGTGGGGTCCTCATAGGGGTCCCAACACCTGAGTGGGGTCCTCATGGGGGGCTCCCATCACTGTGGGTCCCTGTGGTGGTCCCAAAACCCCTTGGGTGCCCACGGGGGTCCCATCACCCACGTGGGGACCTTCAGGGGTCCCGAAAGGTGACGTGTTTCCTTCTCCTCCTCCCTGTTCCTGGTGTTTCGTCCTGGTGTGGTTCAGGGCTCTCAGGGTGACCAGAAGGGGCTGTCAGGGTCACTGACAGGTTGTTTTGGGGTGTTTTTGGGGTGCCCAGGTGAGTGAGGTTGAGCTGGAGTCGGAGAGGGACGAGTACCCCCGGGAGGAGTACCGGGAGTGGTTCAGGGCGTCCTGGTGTGGTTCAGGGCTCTCAGGGTGACCAGAAGGGGCTGTCAGGGTCACTGACAGGTTGTTTTGGGGTGTTTTTGGGGTGCCCAGGTGAGTGAGGTTGAGCTGGAGTCGGAGAGGGACGAGTACCCCCGGGAGGAGTACCGGGAGTGGTTCAGGGCGTCCTGGTGTGGTTCAGGGCTCTCAGGGTGACCAGAAGGGGCTGTCAGGGTCACTGACAGGTTGTTTTGGGGTGTTTTTGGGGTGCCCAGGTGAGTGAGGTTGAGCTGGAGTCAGAGAGGGACGAGTACCCTCGTGAGGAGTACCAGGAGTGGTTCAGGGCTCTCAGGGTGACTGAGGGGGCTCTCAGGGTGACCAGAGGGGGATCTCAGGGTCACTGACAGGTTGTTTTGAGGTATTTTTGGGGTGTTTTTGGGGTGCCCAGGTGAGTGAGGTTGAGCTGGAGTCGGAGAGGGACGAGTACCCCCGGGAGGAGTACCGGGAGCGGTTCAGGGCGTCCTGGTGTGGTTCAGGGCTCTCAGGGTGACCAGAAGGGGCTGTCAGGGTCACTGACAGGTTGTTTTGGGGTGTTTTTGGGGTGCCCAGGTGAGTGAGGTTGAGCTGGAGTCGGAGAGGGACGAGTACCCCCGGGAGGAGTACCAGGAGTGGTTCAGGGCTCTCAGGGTGACTGAGGGGGTTCTCAGGGTGACCAAAGGGAGGGTTCTCAGGGTGACTGAGGGGGGCTGTCAGGGTCAGTGACAGTTTTGGGGTGTTTTTGGGGTGCCCAGGTGAGCGAGGATGAGCTGGAGTCGGAGAGGGACGAGTACCCCCGGGAGGAGTACCGGGAGAAGTCGGAGAGCGGCGGCAGCGACTCGGGCGGCGCGGCGCGGAAGCGGCGGCGGAAGCACCGCGAGAAGAAGGAGAAGAAAACCAAGAGGCGGAAAAAGGCCGATGATGAGGGGGGGCAGAAGGTCAAGGTACGGCCTGGGGGGCACCCCGGCCTGGGGGGCACCCCCTGTCCTGCCCTGTGCGGGGAAATGGGGGTTCTGGGGGGGGCCCCAGCACCTGGGGGGGTTCTCATGGGGGTCCTGATACCTGTGGGGTTCTGCCACTGTGGGGTGTCCTCATGGGGGTCTCAACACTTGTTTGGGGTATTCATGGGGGTCCCAACACCTGTGTGGGGTCCTCATGGAGGTCCCAACATCTGTGGGGTCCAACACCTGTGTGGGGTTCTGTGGGGGTCCCAACACTTGTTTGGGGATTCTGTCACTGTGTGGGGTCCTCATAGGGGTCCCAACACCTGAGTGGGGTCCTCATGGGGGGCTCCCATCACTGTTATTCATGGGGGTCCCAACACCTGTGTGGGGTCCCCATGGGGGTCCCAACACCTGTGGGGTGTCCTTATGGGGGTTCTGTCACTCTGAGGGTCCCTGTGGTGGTCCCAAAACCCCTTGGGTGCCCACGGGGGTCCCATCACCCACGTGGGGACCTTCAGGGGTCCCGAAAGGTGACGTGTTTCCTTCTCCTCCTCCCTGTTCCTGGTGTTTCTCCCTGTCCTGGTCCGTCCCCCTGTGTCCCCCTGTGTCCCCCCGTGTCCCCCGTGTCCCCCTGCTGTCCCCGTGTCCCCGAGCAGGCGGTGGAGCAGAAATCCTCGGCGCAGCTCTTGGGGGCCTGGGGGCTGGAGGACGTGGACCACGTGTTCACCGAGGAGGATTATCACACCCTCACCAACTACAAGGCCTTCAGCCAGTTCATGAGGTGGGGCTGGGGGCACCCCGGGGGTCCTGGGGGTCCCTTTGGGTGTTTGGGGGGCATCCCGGGGGTCCTGGGGGTTCTTCTGGTGCTTCTGGGCGTTTGGGGGCATCCCGGGGATCCTGGGGTACCTCTGGGTGTTTGAGGGGGTCCTGAGTGACCCCAGGGCCATCGTGGGATCCTGAGTGACCTCTGGGATCCTGAGTGACCCCAGGGCTGTCCCGGGATCCTGAGTGACCCCAGGGCTGTCCCGGGATCCTGAGTGACCCCAGGGCTGTCCCGGGATCCTGAGTGACCCCAGGGCTGTCCCGGGATCCTGAGTGACCCCAGGGCTGTCCCGGGATCCTGAGTGACCCCAGGGCTGTCCCGGGATCCTGAGTGACCCCAGGGCTGTCCCAGGATCCTGAGTGACCTCTGGGATCCTGAGTGACCCCAGGGCCATTGTGGGATCCTGAGAGTTACTGGGGGGTTGGGGAGTTACTGGGGGGTTTGAGAGTCCTTTTGTAATTTTAGGTGTCCCTGTGGTGGTCTGGGGAGTCCCTAGGATGTTTTGGGGTCCCTGTGGTGGTCTGGGGGGTCCCTAGGATGTTTTGGGGTCCCTGTGGTGGTCTGGGGGGTCCCTAGGATGTTTTGGGGTCCCTGTGGTAGTTTGGGATCCCTGGGATGGTTGGAGGGGGGTTTCTGGGGTGCTTTGGGGATCCCTAGGATGTTTTGGGGTCCCCTGGGTTGTTTGGGGGTCCCTGGGGTGGTTGGGGGTCCCTGACCCGCCGTGCCCCCCAGGCCCCGGGCACAAGAAGCGCAGCAAGAGCCCGCGGGTGCCCGAGCTGAAGAGGAAGATGAAGGGCAGGAAGATGGCCCCGCTCAAAATCAAACTGGGAGTACTGGGAGGCAAACGCAAGAAGAGCAGCTCGGTGAGAACCCTGAGGGCACTGGGGACACTGGGGGACACTGATGTCCCCGCTGTCCCCTGATGTCCCCTCTGTCCCCTGATGTCCCTGCTGTCCCCTGATGTCCCCTCTGTCCCCTGATGTCCCTGATGTCCCCTGATGTCCCCGCTGTCCCCGCTGTCCCCGCTGTCCCCCGCTGTCCCCGCTGTCCCCGCTGTCCCCTGATGTCCCCGCTGTCCCCGTGCAGAGCGAGGACGCGGGCGAGGCCGAGGAGGAGTCTGACGCCGAGAGCCCCGGGGTGCTGGGGGCCGCCCCCCGCCCCGACCCCACCACGCGCCTCAAGAAGCTCAAGCGGGGCCGCCCCGGGCGCAAGAAGAAGAAGGGTGAGCGTCCCCGAGCGTCCCCGAGCGTCCCCGAGCGTCCCCGAGCGTCCCCGGGTGCCACCTCCCCGCCGCGCGATGGTGACGTCCCCGTGTCCCCTCCCCGTCTCTCCTTGCAGCCCCCGGCGCCGGGCCGGGCCGGGAGCGCGGCCCCGTGGGGACGGGCACGGCGCACGGTGAGACACCCCAAGTGTCCCCAAGGTGTCACCCGGGGTCCCCAAGCCCCCACGGGTGTCCCCTGCCCCGAGCGGGGGCCGCGGTTCTGTCTCTGTCTCCAGCCCGGTGGTGGTGGCTGGGGGGGTCCCCAGTCCCTGGTGTCCTCTGAGGGGTGTCCCCAAGTGTCACCTGCCCTGCTCCTGTGTCCCCAGCCCTGTCCCCGTGTCCCCAGTCCTGTCCCTGTGTCCCTAACCCTGTTCCCATGTCCCCAGCCCTGCCCCTGTGTCCCCATGTCCTGTCCCTGTGTCCCTAGCCCTGTCCCTGTGTCCCCATGTCCTGTCCCTGTGTCCCCTTGTCCTGTCCCTGTGTCCCTAGCCCTGTCCCTGTGTCCCCATCTCCCATCCCTGTGTCCCCATCTCCCGTCCCTGTCTCGCCATGTCCCATCCCTGTGTCCCCAACCCTGTCCCCGTGTCCCCAGTCCTGTCCCTGTGTCCCTAACCCTGTTCCCATGTCCCCAGTCCTGTCCCTGTGTCCCTAACCCTGTTCCCATGTCCCCAGCCCTGTCCCTGTGTCCCTAACCCTGTCCCCATGTCCCTAACCCTGTTCCCATGTCCCCA